GGCCCTGCGGGGGGCGAGGAGATGGGTCCGTGGGCCGGGGAAGGGCTCTCGGGGCGAACCGGTGCGTGGGAGGCCGGTCGGTTCTGTGGGGTGAAGCCGGTGGTGGGGGAGAGGCTGAGCTCTCCGGAGGGTGTGGGAGTGAGCAGTGGGGGGGTTATGGGCCCAGACCCCAGTGGGACGGGCTCTGCAGAGCTCAGCTGGCTCCGTGGGGTGGGCTGGGGTTGAGCTTTCGCCGGGGGAGGTGGGTGTAGAGCTGACCTTTTCCTGGGGAGCAGGCTGTGGGTGTGTGGCGAGGACCCTCCAGGCACAGATGGGGCTCGGGGGGGGCTCGAAAACCCCTTGTAAAAGGGTAGTCGGAGGGGGTTAGAGGGTTTTGGGGAGGGGGGACTGGGTTCTGTTAGGAGGGGCACTGTGATGGGGTGGGGGAAGCAGAGGGGTTGGTGCCAGGGGAAACTCGACTCGCTGTTCCCTTGTATTTTGAGAGCCTGAGCTGTGAGTCAGGTCGCCTGCTTTAGGGGAGGCAGCAGGTCTCGGGTCCCCAGACTCAGCTGCTGGGGCACAAAGGGGCAGGAGGAGCTGAAATATCTTCCTTTAGTCAGGACCGTGACAGGGAAGGGGGAGGATAGCATCTCCTCAGCGCAGCCACCCTCTTCTCTGCTGCATCTGGTGTTGGGCAAGGCAAAGGTAGCTCGTCAAAGCCATTTGGCACCTGTGGGAGGCAAGATATTGTGGGAACATAAACATCGTCTGGTTAGGTTTGTTTTGGTGACTAGAACCAGAGCCGGTAACAGTCAAGGGAAAGGTCTTGAAGTCCTCTGATGGCTGAGGGTTTCTCTTGCTCTCTTGATTCGAAATGTGAGCTGCACCAGAAATACACAGGGTTGGAACTGGGCACCATCCTCATCCCTGCAGAGGGATGGTAACAACAGGTGGAAACCTTGTCTGGGATAAAATGGGGCACTTTTGGTTCTTAAACCTGTCCTCCCAGTGTTTCAGAGGTCTGGTGGTGTTCTTGGGGGAGTTGAGAGCCACATTTCCCTTTCCACAGGCCCCAAACCAGCTTCTTCACGCTAGTTTGTGGCTAGAAACCCAAATGACTCTCTCAAAGCCTTGAAATTTGCATTTGGCAAGATCCAGCCATCCTTCCTGAGCTTCTCTGGTGGAGAGTGGCCAGGATTTTTATTTATTATAACGCAATATACTGGAGCTTCCTGGTCAGCGCAATGGCACTTGCCACCCAAATCACAGTAAGGAAAGATGAAACCTGTGGGAAGACTTGTGGCTGAACCCCGACTTCGTTCAGTGCTCTCAGAGTGTTGCTGCTGCCCCACTTCTCTTCGAGAAGTATTTAGGGCCAGGTCGCTGAACACCACCAAAGAAGAAATTACTTTAATTGTTGCTGCAGGGTTGGTGAAGTATCGTCTAGTGGGGATGTCTGTGTATGTGCTTGATTTCTGGCTGCTTCGTTGTGTCCTTTGGGCAGTCTTGAAGCCAGACATCCAACATACCTGCTTTGTCTTTGCTCACCATGTGAGCAGGCACGGAGGAAGTCGTACCTGTTGGTCCGATAAAGCCAGTTTTGTGAGGAAGAAGAGAGCACTTTGGTCTTTATTGGCTACAGCAGCCACTGTGCCTCAGCACAGGGCAGAGCATCCGGGAGCAAGACCCCTGGGTGTTTTTCTTTTGCTTTGGGGCTTCCTTTGAGATCCTGATCTTCTGTGCTTGCCTGTCTTCTGAGCTGAGGAGGAGCTGGCTTCAGAAGGCTTGAAGGGTGTTGAGAGCCTTACTTAAGAGAAAATACGCGAGTACACGAGTAAATCACTTCTCCCTTCCTGGTGGAATAATTGCCATTGTTTGCTTCTCTGGCCAGCGAGGTGTTGGCTAACGCATGTTTCCCACAGGATTTGAATTCTGGTTGTGACAGAGCCTCCGCCACGTGACGTGCGTGATATGTGACGTACGTTCACCTTGGCTGATCCCTAACAGCGCAGGCTTTAAACCTGGGATTTCAGCCCCACCTCCAGGAGACCTGGGGCCTCTCTGGGTGGTCACCCACTGCCCTAGGCAGTGTTTGGGCTTTGGGTAGGAGCTGCTTCCTCTGCAGCTCCTGGAGAGGACAGGTGGAGTTGGGGATGACAAGAGCTGTAAGCCCAAGAGGGCAATCCTGAAATGGGTGTTGGAAGGACTCAGCTGCCGTGTGTTGGGTAACATGGCAGGTCTTTTCCAATCTAGGAGATTCTGTGGCTGTGGAAGAGCTGCCTGTGCTGAGGTCCCACTGTGGCTGTCCCCTGCTTGAGATGTCCCCGGTGCCTGTGTTTATTGTCCTGTCGAGAGGAGGTATTCGCTTGCCTTGCCAAGTGTGCTTTCCCTGGTGTAATAACGAGGTGCTGAGCAAACACCAGGTCAGAGCTGTAACTGGGGCTTTTGTTTTCGCCTTGGGCAGAGGCTGTGAGGGCAGCAGGATCGATTTTGGCCAGCCAGTGGCAATGCGTGGCTTCAGCTTGAATAGATATTCAAGCCCGCTGTAGGTGTGCCTTGCTTCCCTTGCAGCCCCTTCAGATGCCAGAGGAGCAGCTCCGCAGAAGGCAGGGGACAAAAGGAGGCCGGTTGTTGTTTTGGACATGAGGTTTTGCTTTGCTCCTTGGTAAACCTTAAACCATCTCAAGCCCTGCCATGGCTTTTTGGGACACTGTAGTCCTCAGTGGCCCATGGTGCAGTTTGCCCCGGGGGGCTATTACTCCATTACTGGCATTATCCAGCATAGATAAAGGGGATGTGGATGATTTTGAAACCCTTCCCAGGCGAGGCAGGCAGTGGTTCCCCCTCTCTCTGCCTCAGCGTGTATTTTAACTGACTGGGGAAACACCCAAAAAGGTTCTCTCATTTTGTTGCTTTCACTTTGAAGCAGCATGTGCCAAAAAATGCTAATGTGGGATTTCAGTTGTTTGGTCCTTTGTGCCTTAGGTGCCGCCGCTGCTTTATAATTATGGGTCCGAGAGAGTTGAGAGTTCATTGTCACCCTGGCTTCAGGCCCCTCCCTGGAGTCCACAGACAAAAGAATTGCTCTTGAAATGGCTCAGTCACTACTGGGGACAAGGAAATCATCATGACACATCTGAAGCGAGCTGAGAGCAGGGTCCCGAACTGCTGAGCCCTTGATGTAGGTATAAAACATACAGAAAGACTTGCCGCCCCCCCCCCAAATTCCTGCAAGAGGGACAAAGCTTTCTTGATCCCACCTGGCCAAGACTGAGCGCGCAGGAGGGAAGATGAGTTTATTAAATAGAAACATCTGAATGGCTCATCATCCTCAAGCTTAAAATAGGACCGTCAAATGACTCCAAGTCCCGTCTCTGTTATAAAAATCTCTCTTCTTCCCAACCATCAGCTGTGGAATCTCTGTGGGTGTCGCAGGTTAGTATCGTCAGCCGGGTCCTGTTGCTGAAACTCTCACCGTCCCTTTTGGTGCTGTGGGAGTCATGCTTGTGTGTGTGTGATGCCCACCCCAGCGCAGGGCAAAGCTCCTTTTCTTTAAGTTAGAGACAAAAGATTGCCGTTGAAAGAACAAAGGTAGGAGCCAGCTTGTCTAAATAAATGATAGATTTGTCTGTTGGAGGGAAGCTTGTCTGGCAAAGCGGTAGCTAGAAAGCAAGTGAGAATTTTGTGGTTTGGGGGGGCACCGATGACCTGGAGTACCATTTCCTGAATTATAACTTAATTTCCCTTTGGAAAGTAAAAGCTGCTCCTCCTTCCCTCCGGCTCCGCTGTGTATTGTTGCAAGGGGCCGCTTGGTGTTTTATTTCTCCTCCCTGCCACCCCCATTAGCCCTGCAGGGTTGAAAAGCCTTTTTTTTTTTTTTTTTTTTGAGATGGAGGTGAATTAATGCTGCCTGTGCTGCTTCCCTCTGCTCACACAGAGTTTCCTTCTTCGTTTTCCCCCAGACGAGGTATCAGACTCGTCCTTGTCCTTTTTTGATTACTATGTAATAGCGGTGATTAAATGTATTATCTCACTGCATCCCTGCGGACTCTGCCTTGTTTAAAAAGCAGAGTGCTCCCAGGGCAGAAAGCTACCTTACATCTGACCTAAATCTTACTCTTCTGGGAAAGGATTGTTTATCTTCCCCCAAATTAAGAAGGTGGCGCAGCAGGCAGGATGCTAATTCTGGTTTCCCTGTCGCCAGCTCCCTCTGGGGTCGGTTTTGAGTAAGTCCCGTAATCGCTCAGCTGGAGTAGGGGCTGTTGACATGCTCCCTTCCTGGGGCTTGGTGATGGTTGAGAGCAGGCTGGAAAAAGGAATGCTCACTGCATATCCCCAAAGTAGCTCCCGAGAGCCGTAAAGTTGGACTTTAAATTCGTCGAAACCCTGGAAAACCCAGTGCCTTCGTGTTTCTGGAATAGGTGTTGCTGTCTGGGAGCGGGGATTGACTTAAGTGTTAAATCACAGAAGTGTTTTGGTGGAAAGTGGGAGTAATGCAGAGCTGTAAAATCAATGGTCTTCAGCCAACGGTAGGATTAATTTTCAAATGGCAGAACCTTGTGCAAAGCCAATGTGCCAGAAGGTGCTGCTGTAGGGAAGGAGGGTCTCCCCAGCTCTTCTGCAGGTTACAGGGGCAGGTCTTGCCATCAAATATTCCAGAAAGTGGTCTTGTCCAAAACGCGTTCAGCAAAAAGAAGTCTGCCCCCTCTTCTGCTGGGAAACTTGAGATAACCTCATTCCTCCTCCCCCCAAGACAGTTTTGCTGGAAACCATACGGAAAAGCAATAACAGGAATACTGGCTGGCCAGCGTCTCGCCCGGCTGCGTTAGCCCTCGCTTGTACGTGCCTCGTTGCTACCCCCTTCCCTGAAGCTGAAGGTAGTTTTGCTGAACTTGCTCACTGATTTATTTTCTAATTTGGATTTTTGCAGTTCTGTGGTGCTCTTTGACTCCCAAGCGGTTTGATAAGAACGACCAAAGAGTTTGCGTGTCTGCTTTACCTCAGAGTTGGCATTTCTGGGGGAGCAGGAGGGCAGGGCTCCGGCCAGAGGGCTCGTCTCAGGAGAGGGATGGTGGGGGAAGAAATGTGGCCGGGAGTCAGGAGCAGATGCTGGAAATTTCTCCCTCACTGTCCTTTTTGTCTTCAGAGTTTCCACCCTTTACTCCTACCATCTGCCTACTTGTCCGTGAGCTGTCTCCAACCTCTGCTGCTGAAGACATCATGCATCTGAGTCTCATTTATTTGACTTGGTTTTTTTTTTTTATTTATTTCAAATGTTTTTCAGTGGAGAGAGTAACCCGCTGTCAGTCGAGATGTATTCCTGTTTCTGTGCACATTTAGACAGGGTTTTGTTTGTCGGTGCTCTTGTGACCACTGATCTTTGGTCAAGGTCTGCTGTGCTGGCGAGACACAAAGGAAAACGAGTTTCTTCCCAGCCCGAGTGAGTTATGGTGGTTTTGGATTGGAGTTATCCCAAATAACTAGTTGCTGTGAAGTGCATCTTTTCCTGGAATTGCTGGGATAAGCCCCGAACGGTGGATCCAGAGTTTCAGTGAGGTCAGTGCTTGTCTGCTGACGTGATCAGTGACCTGTGCTAACTGACCTCCAGGTGGTGGAAGGTGGAAGCCCAAACCCCATCGTCTTTTGTACTTCCTCTTCTCCTCCCCTTCTGCTCACTCTGTAGAAGGCAGAGGAGTTGCTTGGTTTTTTTTTATTTTTTTGTTTTTTTTTATTGCTTGGTAGATGTCCCGCCTGGCCTCAGCTCTCTTCTGGGTACTTAGAAAATGCTGGTAAGCTTGTGAGTGGAAACCTGTTCTGAATTCTGCCCATGACCTCTTGGATTCAAAAATCGCTTTATTTCTCCATGGCTAGGTGTGCTGACCTCCTCGCAAAGCCCTTGGCAGTGTGCTGGTGAGGAGAGATTGAGGAAGGGTTTACTGTTTCTGCAAAGCAGCGAGAAGTGTCCAGATAACGTTACAGAGATTGCGTCTCCTCTATCTTTCTCTCGGCCTTTTCCCAACGCGTCACCCGCTTGCCGGCATGGACACGTCAGCAGTATCCAGTGACTTCCAGGAGCGTCCTGTGCCTCCATCAACAGGCTTGTAAAACAAGTGTAGGGGAGAGGGAGGAAGATGTGCTAATCCAGGGCAGTAAAATCAGTCATGCGTACATCAGCTGCCGACCGCTAACGGTGGTGGGAAAGATAACCCTGAACAGGAATCTACAGCGTGCGAGAGCTCTTTATCTAGAAACTGAATTCACAAACTCTCTTACAGGAGCTTTGATGCCGTTGGTTTAATGTCCTTAACATAATTTATCGGAACAAATCTATTGATGCAGAGAATTTCAAAATTATTACTCACTGCTTGGCCTTCTGGCCAAGATCAAGTGTTTGTAAGTGTTTTATCTTCCTCTGGAGGGCCGTGTTCTGCGCTGGCAGGGGCGGGCTGCGTGATCTCACGGGTTTTCTTCCATCTCCAGCTGCTGTGATTAAGAGCGTTGGCTTTGACTCTTAGCTCAGGCCGGGCTTCTACAGCTTTCCACAAGAGCTTCCCGAGAGAAGCAAATGAAGTATTTAGGCTCTTATCTTCCAGAGCCGTGGAAGAGGTTTTTATTGTGCGTGACTAAGGTGCCTTGCTCAGAGTGTTTTGCTTGTGAAGTTTGGACCTTTGTTTTCTTAACTAGTAGAAATAGGATTTCTTTTCATGTTTCTTTAACTTTCTTGGGGAAAATCTCTCTTGCTTCTTCAAGTAGCAGAAGTATCAGTTCACCGTGACAACTGTGTAACCTTTTTGTTTTTCCTCGTATAGATTTCAGCTTTTTGTGCTGCTCGGTGATGTCATTTCGAAGAGGTAGATGTACTGCATATACGTGCTTAAAGAAAAGCATGGTTTCTGCCTCTCCAGTAACCAGCAGCAAAATGCCGTATTACGTAACTGTCTTGGCTTTTGAGGATTGACAAAACTTGGTGGGTTTTTTTTCCCCTAAATAAGCTGCTACCGCTCTCAACAAAAGCTGCTGTTTTATTGAAGTGTGTTGTGTAAGCGCTCTCCTGACATCTAAACAGCTCTCCGCATCGCTGTGCGCACCAGCAGGATTGTTCCAGCGGGGCTTTTCTGCTTTGGTTTCTGCCTGGTTTGCATTTTGAAGGAAAGAAATCTCGCTGCTATTCCCATTTGCAACTGTGGCCTTGGACTGGTGGGGGGGGACTGATCCCGACAGACTCTTTTTTTGGGGGGGGAGGGGGGATTTGCAGGCAGAGAGAAAAATGTGTTGGGGGATTTCTGTGCGGACAGCGACTTGGATGTGTCCGTGGAGGCTCCAACGTACTACACGTCCTCCAGGTAGCGTTTGGTGGGTCTAAGGCTTGGGCTTGCACCCGAATTCTGTGTGTGCAGAAGTGCTCTTGGCGATGGTGCCACCGCCTGGAGGCAGAGTCCAGGTGAGGAGGGAGAATATTCCCATTTTTGAGTATTAAGAGGACCTGTCTGGGGAAAACCCCACTGCCTCTCTGGTCCTGGCCACTGGTTTGGTGGAGATGAAACCCGTGGTCAGCAGCAAGGCTGGGGAGGAAGGGCAGTGCATGCTGGTGTGATGTGTCCTGGCGCTCAGCTTGTCCTGCTCAGACGCTGGAGAGTTGAGCTTGATGATGTGTTTGGGTGTGCTAACATTTTCACTTTTTATTTTCGTCTAAAACATGAGGCGCAGCTCAAATCTGTCTGAGCAGCTCTATTTAAAAATAGAGCAAAGCGGGTATTTGTTCTGGCTATACCAAATTAGCACACTCGTTTGCTAGACGAGTGAGGCTCTGACCCGAATGCCTTGTTACGTGCTGCTTCCAGTGAAATATTTGTCTGCACTGTTTGACCAGGTGCCATCACCACAACTTTTTAGCTTTTTTTCCTAGCGTTTATTTCACAGTCGGTAAGAGTATCCTATCTGTTGCTGGCTGAAAATAATCCTGGACAGCTAGGGCTGGCGGAAGGCGGCTATTTATTTAGGTTGATTCAGCTTCCAGTAAACAGCTCTGAGGAATGCTCTGAAATCGCCCGTAGGGGTTGCTCCCAGAGTTGTGAAAGAAAAAAAAAAGAAAGGGAACTTTGGGGACATCATGAATTCATTTTTTGGACAGGACTTTCTAACCCTGATGTGTTTCCTTTGGCCAGAATGAACTGTTCAGGTCTTCCAAACCATATTTTCAGTTGTCAATCTGGGTCAGAATTATGGCCGCCGGTCTTTCGTTTTAAAGAGGGGCTTAAACAGATGCAGAAATAGCAGCTTTTGGGAGAGTATTTAATTTTGTTACATTTATGCCATTGAACTTAACACCTTCACTTCTCCAAGCAGAGTGTGTGTGGGATGACACAAAACTGCCTTTACATAGCAATAAAAAGAGGTGGAGATAACTGAAACGTTTTCATATGGAAACCTTTGAGTTTCGTTCTCTGGCCTCAGCTGGTAACGCTTTTGGTAATGGAGAGAGCTTGTTTTTGCAGGAGGATGCATGACGGAGCCGTACGTAGCTTCAGTCCTGCCTCGGAGCCGAGCGGACCTCATCAGCTGTGTGTTCCTCCTTGCACTCGGGCGTGAATAAGCGTTTTTTATCATGGTCGAACAGGAATTACCTATTTCCTAACCAGCAGCAAACTTGTTTGGAAACTAGCGGGAGCGAGGGAGGGGGAGCTTCCTGCCACGGAAACTGGGTGTGCTGGGAGAGCAGCGATGCTGCAACCGCACCGAGGCTCTGACCGCAGACTGCGGCTTTCGCTTGTTGACTCACCCTTTCTTGTAACCGGCCTGGTTGGGAGGATTGTCATTGTTGCATCCCAAATCACTACATGAAAGGGCGAACCGAGACACCGCGGTCTTGGGGTGGTGGGGGAAGAGGAGAAGGTGAAGCCGGTGCTCTGGTCTGTGCCGAGATGCTGTATGACTTCCTCAAAATCACAGCGACACCTATAAGATAAAGATATCCCGTGGTATCACGGGACAAATCAGATGTGCTTTGGGATGCCAGCTCTCCCAACCAAGGCTTGTTGTATATTCTCGCTTTTTATGTTTGTTGCGTGTGATTAAAGCAGCACAGAAAAAAGATTTGCTGTTGGGTCCTCTGGCGAGAGAGCTTTAGTTAAATCCTAGTGGAATACGGTTTTGCATGGATGATTAAATATTAACACAGCAGATCTCCAAGGTGATGAGGCTGGTGGTGCTGCTTTGGGATTGCTTAAATCATGGGGCTTTTAGAGGTTTCGATTTACATAATTACTGATTCTTGCTTAAAAAAGGGCTTAATTGCTATTGAACAGGTGTTACAGTGTGGTGCCCGGGATGTTTCCTCTGTCCCTGTGTCCTGATGGATCTTGGCAAGCTCAAAAGCCTTGTGGCAGGGTGACAGAGCCGACCTTTATGGGTTTCTTCTTAACATACAAGTCCCAGAAGCTTCCTTCTAGCTGGAGATGCTCCCAGATCAGGGCTGGTGGCGAGGAGAAGAGGGAAGGGATGCGAGAGGTGAAGCGGGGAGGCCAGTCCTGAGCGTGCCAGGGGGGCAGGGAGGAGGAGGAGGAGAGCTGGCTGCAAGAAACTTCAAACACAAAAATTAGAGCTTGTTGGGACGAACTTTCTTGTCTACAAAGGGGGATGAGAGGGGGTGGGAAGGCGGTTGGAGCCAGTCGTTCTGTGCTCGCTTTGTTTAGCGAAAAGCGTTTGTCACAGATTTTTTTTTTTTTCTTCTTGTTTGCTTGTTTAATATGTATTGAAATGAGAACTTTGATCATTTGATAAGGGGATCAGAAGGCTGCTGGATCTTGCTGTTGAGTGCCTCTGTTCCTTTTGCTGAAATGCAGTTTTTTTAGAGCCGTAGTGCTTGATGAAATCACAGTGTGAGTCTTTACACCGGTTGTAACAGACGAGCAGAAGGGGCTTCTCTGCTGAGCGAGCGGTGGGTGGACCCAGAAGGATTTGATGTAGTAATGCTTAATCTGGTAAAACAATTACTGGACATCAGGGGAAGTGACCCTCCGCTTACTCTGTGGTGTGATGGGGTGGTGCTTTTGGGTGGGGACAGATTTATAAGACTGTGGTCATCGCTCCCACCTAAAAAAACCAGTTGCTGCGTCTGAAGCAGAAAGAGCTTGTCTGGCTTTCTGAGCACATCACTATTTTATGCATCTGCCTGGCGGCGGCAGTGTCCCTGTCCTGGGAGCTCTTGGCCTCGCTGGTGTTGGTCTCCATCTACCTTTGTGGTGTAGGCAGACATTGCAGAGAGGCGGAGTCATCTATTTGCTTTTTGGTTTTTTTCCTTACTGCGTCCAAAAACCACCAAGACGTGAATCCAGGCCTAAAAGATAAAAGTTAGTACATCACCTCGCAGATATTTAGCACCATGGTAATTATGAAAATCCCTGGGCTTGGTTTCAAGTGGAAAGGGTGGTGTTCTGAGCCTTTTAATAACAGGTCCTGGAAGTAATTTGAAGATACAGCGTGGTCAGCGCATCTACTCAAACACTGCGGAGCACTTGGCCCTCCCAGTTCTAATTAATAGATGGCAATAATCCTGCACAGCTGTGTAACTCCATCGAAGGCAGGGACGTTGCTGATACCACCTCTGAAGGTGGTCTGGCATGTCGGTGTGCCCCAGAGGAGTGCTGGGAGCCAGCTGAGCGGGGCAGAGCAGACCCTGGTTGGTAGCATCGGCACAAAAGTGTGTTTGGCTGGCGAGTGGTAAGCAGAATAGCATTTCGTTGTGGCTTGACAAAAATTCTCTCTGCTGTAAGAGGAGAAGCTGGGAAGAAATCAGCCATGAGTCAGTGCTTTTTTCAGATGCCTTAAAATGTTCGAACCAAGGCGGTGCGTCAGGCTTTTTTGTGATGCATAATAATGATTAACCCTCTCTGACTGTGGCTTCTTTCTTTTGACAGGGTCATCTACTTTCAAAAAATCACTCACCCCTGAGGTAAGTTTCTGGCTGACAAGCTGGTTTGTTCCCTGCCTGAGAGAATGCCCAATTTCAGACTCGAATGAGATTGGAAAAATAGCAGAGATGTTAGGGGTGAAGCAGGCAGTGGTAAGTACAGTAAGCTGCGGATACTCATTTGGGCAATCAGAACCTCTCTCCTTGCAAAGAGAATCTCCACTTAAAAACCCAGCTTGCCCTGAAACTGGACAATTCTCGTGCCACCAAAGCACCACGTAGATCTGCTGCTGTGAGCGAGATGTTCAACTCATTTTGACTGAGAAACACCATTTAACAACCACGTGTGTTAAAAGACGATGAGTCAAGTGAGCTCTTGCTGCATGAATCAGAGCAGAATTTGCTACCTTCCTAAAATGTTTCCTCAAAGACTTGGCCTTACTGGCAGAAAGCATGGTGACCAGCTGCAGCTGGTCTGGACTTGCTTAGAGCTGATCTGTTTGTGATGAGGGTGATCAGAAAAAACCAAACTCTTCCAGGTGGTCCTGCACAAAGGTGTTTCTCTCTAATTAGATGTCTGGCCTCAATCACACAGGAGTCAATGGGTTCTCTGGAGGCCTTTCAGTGGGTTTCAAAGCATTTCAAGGGTTTTACATCCTTGGTTCTTACCATATTTTACTCCAACTCTAGATGCCGGGTTCCTCTGGGCAGCCAGGCTCACAGACAATAAAGAAAGGGCACAGAGGAGTGGACTCCACGGGCGAGACTACCTATAAAAAGGTAAGTTGCCTCTTGCATAACTCATCTGACGGTTATCATTCTCCTCTTTGTGATGCAAGTGCTGCCCATAGCAGCAGCGTGTCTCATGAGGTTTGGCGTTAGACAGTGGATAACATCTGTGACAGCGGCTGAAGATGTCAAAGGACAGGAACCAAAGGAATGAATGTGTGCTTCTTAGCTTCTCTTCTGTAGCCTTCTAAAGAGAGGATTATTTTTAAACTTTGCCCATTAGCAACACTTCTAGGCCTCTTCTGGCTTATTGGGTGCTTTCTGTGCTCTTTGGGCACAATAGTTTCTATAGATCTTGTGGCATTACTGGAATTTGCTTTACAAAGGCGAGATTGTTTGGGTATTTTTAGAGTCTGTAAATGTGGGTATTTTGTGGATGCTGCTTCCAGTTTGGTGGACTTCATTGGAATGGCCTGACTTCCTCTGAAATGAGATTTGACTTCCAGGATGTAGATTAAATGGGTCATGGCTTGATATGGGCATGTCACCGTGTTGTGTAAGCGAAGCGTCTGGTCTGAAATCTCGGATTCAGATGTACCTCCGTCTGTCCGTCGGGTGACGGAGTGGAAGGGAGGAATTCAAATGGTGTTTCCACAGAAGCTGGTTTTTGTTATACAGCCCTTTTTGAAATGGTTTATGTCTCCAGGATTGGGATCCGGCTTTCAGTTTCCCAGCAAATTCAGAGATAGAAGGTTAGACAGCAGTAATAGGAGAGAAAAGTAGAAGCCAATGGAAAATGCCTGAAATGTTTCTTGCAAGGGACCCAGAATGCTGGTGGGACACTGCATGGGATTTACCTAGGAATGATAGTAATGGACAGTCTGTGTGTTTTCAATCCCCTCCTTTTCCAGGGGTGGTACATTGTTTTTTTTAAATTCTTTGCCCTATAAAAGCGATTGTAAACAGGCAGTCAGCTGCTCAGCTGATCGTGCTGGCTAATAGAAGAGAAAAATACTTGTTCCTTGGCAACCTGGCCCTGTGGCTCTGTGCTCACAAACAAGGCAGCAATGCTGCGCCGTGTTGGTGAGATCTGTTTCTCATCAGTGAGACTGTCCTGGGAGTTCAAGCTGGGCTAGGTGAGCTGAGCTGAGATCTGTTTTCAGGCAACTTTAGCCTTTTAGAGGGTAAGGAAGGAAAGCGGAGTCAAGTTCTTCCTTCATCCCCGTCTAATACTGAAGTGAATGTCAAATACAAACAGGTAGCTGGTAGGAAAGGCCGTTGTCTTACAACAAACTGGAATTACTGCCAGTTTTTGTTGCGCTCTCTTCAGGGAACCATGAGCAGGTCTCTTGAAGCTATGATAACAGAAAAACAGTTAAGTGGGAGAAATGTTCCTGTTTGTTTTACAAAGCTTGATGGAGGATGTGTGTCTGGGGAAAAAACTTGAAATGTTTGTCCCCCAGATACTGCGGTGTCCTCTGCTGCCAAATGCTTTGATCCACAGTGATTTCTTGCATGTGGCAGGGGGCTGGGCTTTGGTTAGCTCAAGGAAACAAACACAAACTGGTTGGATCATGAGCCCTGGATCTTGTTCTGGGTCCAGTTGCTTTATGTATAAGCCAAGTGAAATGCCCATGAGCTGCAGCGCACAAATCCAACCCGCACCTGCTCTGCAGCCTCAACATTTCCAGCAGGCTTTACAGCAGAGTTCATACCTCTGTGCTCCAGGAACTGACAGGCCATATAACACGGGGGTGCTGGGCAGTTCTCATCTGGGCTCTTCTGGGAAAGAGAGCCCCTAGCACAAGGCTTCATAGACTGAAGCACGTCTCAGTGGTCTGAGATGAGATCATGTGCTTTGTAGACAGAAGAGGACTCTTGATGTGAGTAGCTGTTACAAGAACACAGTCCTACGTTGTTCTTGGGCAGTTTGTGCAGAGGATGCAGGAGTGGCATTCATGTCTCTGCTCCTTATTTAAAAATGACAGTGAACTCCTTAGGGTTAAAGAGCCACGACCTAGCCAGAGAGGCAGATCAGACAGAAGTGTGTGTTGTGTGCTGGCCATGCCTGCCTTGTCCTGCAGAAGACCCAAGTCTGTTCCCAAGCTGGGGAAGCGCAAGCTTCAAAGCGTATAGTTCCAAGACCTAGCGGACAAAGGTGTCGAGAAGTGTGTTTATTCCTAGAGGTACAAGATAATCCGTCCCTGGATGCTTTCCCCTCTGACTGCAGGGTGTAGAGATGAGTGCTGTGGGAGGATGAAATGAAATTCAGTCCTTTTAAGGACGACCTGGATGTTGATTCCAGTTAAGTCCTTTACTGCTTGACCGCCCAGGGTGCAAACACCAAGTAGGATGCTGTCAGAGGTGGAGGGGTGTTCCCATCGCCAAAGTGATGTTAGTCAGGGAGAAAGAAATGACAGAAGCTGGAACCAGTAGGTGTAAAATACCCCAGCTAACCATGCTGTTTTAAACTGGGGGCTCTCTTTAACTCCTTTCATTCGGATTTCCAGTCTGATGCTCCACATTGTCTAACTCATTTTCACTGCCCCTCCAGACGACATCATCTGCCTTGAAAGGTGCCATTCAGCTGGGCATCACACACACAGTTGGAAGCTTGAGCACCAAACCTGAAAGAGATGTTCTCATGCAAGATTTCTACGTAGTAGAAAGTATTTTCTTCCCAAGGTTGGTGCTTGCTTTCATGTCTCTCTGGTGCTTTGATAACGGGTAGCAGCATTAGTTCCTAACCCTACTTGCATTTGAGGAAGCTGCACCAAACCAGGACACAGTTGACTGCAGGAGCGGGCGCAGGTCTCCAGAGCAGAGCTACTCAGTGCACTGCTTACAAACCAACGCGTGCTCTTGCCTGTGACCTGTGTCTGAAGAACCCTGGCTTTTCCCCATACGTGACTGCCTTTCGTTGTGTGAACAAATGCCGGCTTGCTGTTGTGTGTGCCTACGCGTGTCCCTTTTGGGTGGGTGCTTTCTAGCCCTCAGGTGTGTTAGAAGCAGCCAGCCAGCGGGTGTTTGCTTTTAGGGTATTTTCTTAAGAAACATTTCAAATACAAATACTTAAACCTCCTTCTCTCCTTGCTCAGTGAAGGGAGTAACCTGACCCCAGCTCATCACTACAATGACTTTCGGTTCAAAACCTATGCTCCAGTGGCCTTTCGCTATTTCCGGGAGCTGTTTGGGATTCGACCAGATGACTATCTGGTAAGTTGGTGGTTGGACCAGGTTCCCCTTTGTTGCATACTCTGTGTGACGGGTGTTTGTCCTCTTCCCCCTCTCAGAGCTGCAGAGTGCTGTGAGGCCCCGTGGAAAGCTTTGTAAGCACGGCAGTGGATGCTGCTGTGACCCTGGGATTCGCCTCTCTTAATGTTTAAAAGGAAGGGCCTTCGCGCTGAATTTCCCTGTTGATATGTCTCACCTCTTCATTTCTCACCTTGTCCTCAGTACTCGCTCTGCAGTGAGCCACTCATTGAACTTTCAAACTCCGGGGCCAGTGGATCCCTCTTCTACGTATCCAGCGACGATGAGTTTATAATCAAAACGGCTCAGCACAAAGAGGCTGAGTTCTTACAGAAGCTGCTACCTGGCTACTACATGGTAAGTCGCTTGGGCGAGGCTTTCTCTGCAAGCTAGGGAAGGGTTCCCCAAATGTACAAGTGTGACAGGTATTGCTGTGTACTCCCTGGTGGATGTGAGCGGAGGTTTGATCTGTGCCCCAGCTGAGTGGCAGCTTGTCTTTCAACTGTCCAGTGACAAAGACAGTCACAGACTAACGGGCTGCCTGGGTATCACGAGCCTGGCATGCTGCGCAGGGGGCTCAGGTTGCACTTTGTGACTTGGACCCTTTTGGAAGGTTGCAAGCTGCTTCGTGACCATCTGTGAACTGTTTGTTGCATCTATGCTACACAGCGTCATGCCCATGGTACTTTGTCTTGCAAAGCTGTACTTGTGTTTCCCTTCCCAGCACTGTGCTTGGTTCTGTCTGCAACGATAAAGAGTTGAAGAACTTTGATGTTAAGTTTCTAGCAGCAGCAGCTTTGAGAGTAAAGGTGTATTAATTTTATGAAAGGGGCTATAGCAAAAAAGGCTTTATCAGTTCTGGAGCATAACCAGATCCCACCCTGACCGCAATGTGTGTGTGATCTGACTGCTCATGTTTGTGTCCAGCCTGGCCTTTACAAGCCACATCTGTCAAAGGGAATTTATCCACGAGACGGTCTTGCCATAGAGAAATCCCTTAGGACTTTTGATGCTGTTGGGGTCACTAGCTGAATTCCTTAAACTGCTTCTGAAGCCGCAAATATTTATGCTGTGATTATATCCCAGAACGACATCATTTTTCTTCAAAATTCTGTCTAGTGCCTTCTGCACCCACGAGAGTTTAGATGCATCTCTACCCTGATGTGTTTAGCTTGACCTAAGTGCCCGGTTTAAAAAGGCAAAGCACAAATCTTCCTTTGCTCCAAAGCCTCCCCAGCTTAGCTTCTGTGTGAGTGAGCAGTAAACCCCTTCCTTTCTGCAATCTTCATCTGACCCATTCAGCTTTGCAGAGAGGTTATTAACAACTGTAGACATCACCCATCTGTTCCGGGTGTTCACCTGCCCTTGTCTCATAGCTTCTTTGGCAATGGCTTTGAATCCTTGCCAGCTCCATTTCAACATAGAAACACAGGAAGGAGCAAATAACTCCTCTAACTGGCATGCGAATAACCAGAATGGCTTTGAAGGTATTTCTTTGTCTTTGACATTTCAGAATTTGAACCAGAACCCAAGGACGCTGCTGCCAAAGTTTTACGGCTTGTACTGTGTCCAGGCCGGAGGCAAAAACATTCGCATTGTTGTGATGAACAACCTACTGCCGCGCTCTGTCAAAATGCACCTGAAATATGACCTGAAGGGCTCCACCTATAAGCGCCGAGCATCCCAGAAGGAGCGAGAGAAGGTCTTCCCAACATACAAGGACTTGGATTTTATGCAGGACATCCCTGATGGCCTCTTCTTAGACTCTGACATGTATAATGCTCTGTGCAAAACGTTACAGAGAGACTGTTTGGTAAGTGGCAGGGTGAAGGGCGGTGTGGAGAGTTCTTTCCTTTTTTCTGAGCCTTTCCCATGAAAGGGCGATGACAGCTGCCACACTTGTAGCCTCTGCCTGTCCGCTTAGAGAACCTGTTGGGTTGTTTTTTTTGGTGGTGGTGTGGACAAGAAGCAGGACCCGGACACCAGTTTAGTTCAATACTTCCAACCTGAATTAAAGCCAGCACTGCCTCTAGAGGTGGAGGAAGCACCCTCTGCCAAGACTGAGCTGTGGAGCCGGGCAGGATCTGGGGAGAGGGGTGGGATGTTTGACTGAGTCTGGTCTCAAGTTGGGCGGCCGTACAAAAGTCCGTGTTCGCGCCTGGCTCGGGTCCCTGTCTGCACAGGAGTACCACCGATGGCTTTCCTCTAACTCCCTTTGGCGACGGTAGATGGGCTGACTGTTCACGAGCTGTGGATTAAAAGCCATCAATACGCTCGGGGCTCTAGGCAAAAATGCTGAGTACGCTTCTGAAAATGTCTGCTCTGACAGTTTCACTGGGCTTGCAATAATGAGTGAACCTTTGTTGACTTTCTGCCCAGGTCCTGCAGAGCTTTAAAATCATGGACTACAGTTTGCTGGTTGCAATCCATAACATCGATCTGGCACAGAGAGAGCACGCGATAGCAGATGGGACATCCCAGACCGATACGCGGCGACCTGCTGCCCAGAAGGCCCTCTACTCGACAGCTATGGAATCCATCCAAGGAGAGGCCCGGCGAGGTGGCACCATAGAAACAGATGACCAGTGAGTCTATGTCGGTGTTACTGTTCCCAGTGAAATACTGCGAGGAGTGAGGGGTAAAACCCAAGCTTGGCTAATGGACACTTAATTTAGATGCAGACTGGGCTATGCAGGGTTGCTATCACGCAGGGCAGAGAGGTCTCGATGTGAAATTTTGTGCTTTTATCTTTGATTTCCCAACCTTAAAGCATAAAAGATTTTCTTACCTTCCAGATGACATTTGAGAGTTCTCTGCCCACTGGTTATTGGCAGTTTCCACTAGTTATTTCCATCCCCTTCTAAGAGGCATAGTGTGTGCTTTGTTAGATCAGACTAACAGCTCATAAAGTCCAGATGCCATCTTAGTATGGATGGTGGTAGATGGTCTTTACACTTGTTTGGTCTCCGCTCATGGATGAGTTAGGATTAATACTCATCTGCAATAAAATTGTCATACGGAGGGAAAAGGGGTCAGTTCTTGGGAGCTTAGTTAACTTACTGAAATAGCATTTTGCTCTGACTTGTCTTCCCCAATTTGTTAGCTGAACAGTAGGTGCCTCCCGCATGTTGATGCTTGTGGAATAGTTTGCATGAGATGCAGCCCACGCTAGGCTGCGTGAGAGAGGCAGTGGGGTGTGAGAACACCCTGTTTCATGTTTGTGCCCTGTCCTCTTCTAGGATGGGAGGCATTCCAGCCCGCAACGCGAAGGGGGAGAGGCTGCTGCTCTACATCGGCATCATTGATGTGTTGCAATCCTACAGGTAAGAAACATCGAGTAACAGCTTTGTATCGCCTAAGGGTGAAGACCACTTTCCAGCATTGTCTGCCCCTGCTTGGTTGTCAAGATTGGCTTTCTAGAAATAGTTAAGACAGAAATAAACTTACTTATTTATTTATTTATTTACCACTTTCTGTTTTCTTGAAGTCAGGCGTTTTGGGATCAATTTCTGGATCTTGCTTACTGTATTTGCTTCATGTTCCCGGAGTACATTTACTCTTACGAAGTTGTTTTTGTGTGCTGTGGTTGTTGTACACAGGCACTGCGCAGGAAGTGGCAAGGGAAAAACAAGTGGTGGCTTAGAATGGCCATAACCGCTTCTCCCTGTAAAATGAAAAATGGCTGTAAGGCTTGCCTTTTCTTCTGCTTATGTTAAAATGCAATATGCAGAGGGTTACATACACAACGTCTCTCTTAAATGTCACTGCAAGTTAACTGCCCTTGATAATTACGCCTGTGAAACTCTCCCTGTGGGAGAGTGAACTGTGCAATCAGCCCTGGTGTCTGTGGCACAGTCTTAGAAAAATGGGACAATGAAGAGAATCTACAGCCAAAGTAGTCTGTGTCTGGGGTTTGTTTGCCACTGAGGTCAGAAGCCAGGCTCAGTACTGAGCGAGCGTGATATGATACAGACTGGGGACTTGGTGTGAAAATTGTTCTTAATTCTTTCCTTTGTCAGATTTGTCAAGAAGCTGGAGCACTCTTGGAAGGCCCTTGTACACGATGGGGTAAGTAGAAAAATATCACTTAACTTGTTTAGCAAGAACACCAGGTTCACCTTAAACTGTGCCCACTGTCCTTGCTCCTTCTGGGCATCGGATCCTGGATTTCTAAGGCATGTGTATGTTTGCCCTCTTATATAAAAGTATTACTAGGTACTCTCGAAAATGAGAGTTTTGTTAACACTGGTCATCTACTCTTTCAGTAACGAGTATTGATTGCTTTGTATATAATGCCTACTGTTTGTAGCTAATCTGCTTCTCCCAGCTGCTGGTGAGAGCGCCTCTGAGAATCCCTGATTGCTCCCAGTCCACCATAGCATGTGTTTCAAGACTAACAGCCTGAGAGAAGCTCATGTTAACCTCGATCACTTATTTATTCAGATTCACATGTTAAAGTTTGTCTCTCGGACTTCTAGGACACTGTATCTGTGCACAGACCCAGCTTCTACGCCGAAAGGTTCCAACGGTTCATGTGCAACACAGCATTCAAGAAAATACCACGTAAGTACCTCCGCAGCTGCACCCTTGGCAACTGCCATGGCTTCTGTCTTCTCCCTGCTCCTCCGGAGCTGTGGTTTGGGAACGTGAACGATAGCGTGTAAGAGCTTTAGGAAGTCTCTTGTGCTGTGTCACCCCTTCCTTCCTCCCTCCTAGATTGTTCTTGCCTCACAGATGTGACCTTAGAGGAGCTGTTTGATCCATCAGCTTGTTCTTTCAGGGCCCAGCCCTCGCAACAGACTCTGTCACTGGAAAGTTGCTGCGTCGGGTTTTTCACTCCTTCCTGAATGTGTTAGAAAAATGCTTTCTGTTTTTTGGTTTTTTTTTTTGTCTTTAAGTAAAGCCATCCCCTTCTAAGAAGAGCCGGTCTGGCACAGCAGTTCCTCGGCGGAGCTGTCAAGGAGGAGTGCCTTCCCAGTCGCACATGTCGTGCGAGACAAAAGCACAAGTCATGACAGAGGCGGATATAGAGCAAGGTTGGTGCCTGGGCTAAAAAAAACCCCAACCCAACAACAAAAAAACCCAAAAACAACAACCAAAAAAAAACCACTTAGAGGAGTTACTTCTCAGCTTGTATTTGTCTAATAGAAGCTTGCTGCCCCTATGGAGCTGTGCAAGACACCTGCACGTTGTTTTGTGCTCTTGCCGGGGGAGGGCCTCTTTTCTGGGGCTGTGGGTGCAAGAAACTGAATGGGGCCAAAAACTCGTATTCACCAAATGGCCCTTTGACAGCACCGTGAGAAAGCTTGGAGGAGCAGTGAGCCCTTCAAACACTTGGCAGTTTCCAAGTATGCTGTTGCAATAAATGCAGGGCAGGATGACAAACCTTATGTTTCAGTAAAAGCCAGTCTTTACTCGGAAGCAGGACAGGACCACAACCACCAGGTTGTGGAGGTGGGGAGTTGTTTCTTCATGGGATCTTTCAGCCTTGTCCAAGCACCCAGCATGGCCCACGCTCCCCCAGAGAAATGGGCTGAGGCTGCGTGGCAGTCCCGTGTGCCTGGTCTCTTCCCAGCAGTTCGTGCCCATGGGGTTTGTGCCAGCGGGGAACCTGGGCTGGGCGGTTATGTGGAGACTTGGACTTGGAGCAGGGAACTGTCTGCAGGGCTGGTTCTTCAGTGCTCGGGTGTCTTAGATCTGTCTTGGGTGGGATCCAGCACAGATCCTGACCTGTGGCTAGTGTGGGAGCTCGTGTCACACGATCCCACTTGTGCTGGTGATGGAACAGTCTGTGCTTCAACTCAGGTTCCCACCTTGGTCGCCCAGATCTCCTGCCTAGGACCCTGCCGGTAGACGAAGCTAACAGCGACTCCATCGCAACAACCCTGTCCACCTCTTCCTTGGGCAGTGGAGGCCTCAACTCGCCCGCAAATAGGTAAGACTCTTGTTGTTTTGGTGCATGGCAGGCCAGCGGCTCCTGCGAGTCAGGTTCGTGAGCCGTGGGAGGACTTTGTGCTGCTTTATGGATGTTTTGGTTCTTGGCATGCTTGCAGAACTACCCGTTTGAGTGGTCCGTGTGTTGTTGAGCAAGTTCAGTGCTGTTGGTTCAATCAAGCATGTGCGAGGGGGGAGCATTGTGTCACCGTTCCTGCGTGCAGTTCTTTACAGATGACATGATCTTGCATCTTCTGCTTGGGCTGTGTGGGGGTCCCAGTGGCTTTTAGTTCCTTGTGTGTTCTGTATTTAATGGTTTTATTCTGGAGTTGAGGTAATTGTGCTAATTAAAGTGAGTTGGTGAAAGTGTCACTGCCAAAATGTACGTGAAGAGCATTAACGTGATGATGGGTGATGCTGAAAATGACCTTCCTGCTGCTCTTTTCAGAGGGTTGGGCTCTCTTGCAACTTCCGGACTGGGTTAGCATTGAGCTCCTACAATCCCTCAGGAAAGGAGGCTGCAGGGACGTGCGCGGGTCTGGTTCTAAATGTCTCCGAAGCTGAAGTGCATGGACAGCCCTGAGGGAGCTGGTGGCTGCCTTTGAATGTTTCATTTCTTGCTGAAGTGGTAAGACTAGCAGGAACGAGGAGGAGCTATGGTCAGAGGACGATCCCTTTTGTAGAAGTTGTTCTGAGGTGTTAACTTTTCTTCCTGGAAGCGATCGGTAACAGTCTTCCCCATTCCTGACCCACTGCCTGCACAGTGGCACTGATCGAAGTGTCTGCTCTCTCCTGAGCTGCAGGAGAACAAGATGAAATTGTAATTAATGCCTCTTACTCCCTCTGTAAAAGATGGAAACTTCTTGGTAGGGATCCTAAACCAGAGCTGCTCCTTTCCAGTACGTCAGCATGCCTGGGGTGTTCTTTGTACTTACTTAACTGCGGGTCTCTCTCCTTCAATCTCTACGTAGGTCAGTGGGCGTACAAGTGCATAAAGCTGACAGCTCAGCAAAGGATTTGACTAGATCAGCTCCCGGCATCTTCCTGTCTAGGTGAGGGGAGGAACCAGACTTTGCCTGAAACCTTCACCTGTCTAGAGGGTGTGCTCAGTGAGCCTTGCCCTGGGATTTAGCCTCATATTGCTTATTTATTTTACACGCTTGTTGCTGGCCAGCAGTTACAGAAGTTCTGTACAGTCAGTTTACTCCTAGAATGCAGTGCTGTAACACAGTGTGCCCCTGTGCCGAGGCTCCGCAGTCCTTAGCATGTCTGTCTGATGTAAAGCTCAATGGTAAAACCTCTCAGGATGGTGTCCTCCTTACCCCGTGTGGCACTGAGCACCCTTCTTGGTACAAGCACAGGTCCTGCAAGGTAAGATCAAACCTGCTGCACCATTGGGTTGAGTCCCAAGTGGTTCACCAGATGTAAAGCCTGATCTGTGTTTGCCCCAGGTGCCTCTGGAGCAGAGCACACTGCTCACTGTACCCTGCGGGCACTTGAGCATGTGGTTACCCTGTGCCAACATCTCATAAAACCATGTGCCAGCATCAGACGGTGGTAATGGAATCCAGGAGGGAGAACGGACCGGTGTTTTCTCCCACGTGGGCCCTTGGGATCTGAGCTCCTTACATCAAACCTGTTGTCAGAGGCTTAAATCCACTTTTGCAACCTTGGGAGATCTGTAAAGCTCTGCAAACCCTGAAAAGGATGAAAGTGATTTGTGATTGTTGATTTATAGCAACATAACTTGTTGAATGTATTTAAAAAGGTGGTTTGGGTTTTCTTCACTCTCTGCAGAGTCAGCCAGCCTAGCAGGGTGTTTACCACCCTTGGGGGGAGGTAACCTCTTAAAACTCTGCAGTCCTGTACAAAGGGGAGTGATCTCACCCAAAATCTCTCCAGATAGAGCTTCTGCCCTTTTAGGGGTGGGCACAGGGGGAAGTCAGAATCTGGCCCACTCCAGATCTGCCTTAGGAATACGAGCTCAGCCCTCTTGTCCGTGCTACGACAACCTCAGTGTCTCTTTCACATCACAGCTTCACACCTGCCTCAGAAATGTTGCCACATGCCTCTGTTTGCGGTGTGCAACCTGTGCATCGAAGACGTGTTCTCCATGGTGGCGTAAGCGCTACCGGGCAGGCGTGGGTGCCCTCACGAGGCTGGGCTTCCCCTGTCCTCAGCCCAGCTCTGTCATTAACCTCTGGTAGAACTGTGCTGGCGCTGGGGACACCTAAACATTGGCATGTGCCACTGGGCATGGAAGCTGCTGACCTGCATCCTGCAGCAAGGGGTTCCCCGACATTTGAGAGTGGCACTTCTATTTTTCTTAAGCACTGTAATTTAGTGGTGGACTTCGTAGTGTTAGGTTAATGGTTGGACTTGATCTTAAGGGTTTTTTCCAACCTGAATGATGCTATGATTCATCCTGCAGCCCTGCATTAGGGCAGTGCTGCTTTAGTGCTAATTAAGACAACCCTCAAGAGCTGTCTGTGCTATAACCAACACTGAGCATCCTTGCCTTTAATTTCTGCGTAGGTCAGAAGCAGCGAGTCGCCAGTTAGAGAGCTCAACCGAGGAGGAAGCCAGAGCAGCTCAGAGTAACCGTGCGCATAGGTGAGGCATGATCAGGCAGAGAGGGAGCCGTGCCTTCCCAGCAAGGGTCCCCTCGTCTCCGTTCGGGTGTTGATCCAAGGGTGTTTGTGCAGGGTGACGTGTAGCCTGATGACTGAACAGCTCGATGCTTCCTGTACTTGGGTAACAGGCCATCGAATACCCACTAATTAAGGCAACCACTGCAGGCAGGCTGTGACAAGCCCTGGGTGTCAGCTGCAGGAGGGCCCGAGCGGGTCATGCCGTCTGTGGGCAGTCCTGAAACCTCCTCTGTTTGTCACCAGCGCACCGAGAGCCCTGGCTGCTGGGCCTAGGTGACGGCAAGGAGAGAAGCTGTGGTCACCATATCCCCAGTAGGAAGCAGGGCAAGACCCAAGCTGGGAATGGCAGTTCCTCAGCCAGTAGGTTGCAGCCGTGTAGCTGTAGGATCGTGAAAGAAGTGGGGAAATAACAGGGAGTATGAGAGTAAAGCACGTTGTCTTCCATGCCCCACCTTTCCTCCTTGGCAGTGTATCCTGTCAGGTGCTCAGCGTGCCCACGTTACATATCCTGCTGTTGGGCGATAGGTCGTGTTCAGAGCGTAAAAGCTTTGTAGGAGCTTTGCCAGGAGCTTTTTCACACAAGGCTGCCTATGTCCGGAAAGGCTGAGACTCGCTGAGCTCTGGTGTTCCGTGGTTTCTTTGTCCCCGGACTGTTTTCACCCAGGACCATTTATGTTGATACGGTGCTCGAAGACTTCTGTAAAGAGGTGCTACTGCTCGGCTGGAGAAAAGGTCCTCCTTTCTAATGTCTGGAGTTGGTGACTCTCTAGGTGGTGTTTTGGGTGTTGCCTGTGCCTCCATATTAAACCTGCCTGACAAACGCCTTAGTGCTGTGCTGGGACGTTCCGCTGGCTGCGTCCAGCAGGGCAGCCTTGGAGATGTGACTTATTGACAGCTCATTTCTAAAAACTGCTTTACAGGTCTCCCCCTTCTGTTTCCCCAGCGGCTCCCCAGGACCTTCCATACCCGAGTGCTCCGCAGAGCTGAGAGAGCAGCTCGAAGACCTGCAAGAGACAGAGATAAGCTTTGTGAGTACTTCCCTGTTTAGGAGGAAAAGAGTGGCTCTGGAGGTGGATGGAGAATTTCAGGGTTATGTGGTCACTAGTTGTGTTGGGAACACGGGCACTGGGCGGGGTGTGTGAGTCGACCAGAGCAGGAGCAGATGTTCTTCATCCCCTTCTGGTTTTTGATGGGACTGGGCACCGTTCCTGCTCTTAGTGATATCGCCTGCCCCAACCGCCTTAAATTAGGTAAGCAGGAGGCAAAGCACAGACATTCCTCTTTCCTGAGGGCCCAGAGCGGGTCTGATGGCAGAGACAAGACGGGGTGAAGCTGACCAGGCGCATCTTGCTGGCCCCGTGGCAGATAGCGAATACTCACAGACCCTCCTGGTTTGATGTAAGATGGTGGTTGGGGCAAGCCTGAACTCGAGAGCCCCCTCCGCTCTGCCTCTCCCAGGGTGGGGAAGGTTCAGGGGAGGACCAGGCAGGAAATCTGCTGCTTTTCCGCAGAGGAAGGCAGACCCCTCCCCAGCATCTCCCCCTCTTTTCTCTTCACAGTGAAGCAACACCGAGACTGCCGCGATGGAAGCAGATTGTTCTGTGCTCTGCGTGGTCTGTGGAGTCTGACAAACGTTCAGCCTCTGTTGCTGATTTATTACAATTTTTTTGTTTTTTAAAAGAAATCTTATCTGGACAGAAACCTAAACGCTGGAAGGCTGGGCTATGCTTAGAGGGATAGTATTGGCAGAGACCGAGCCAGCGCAGCTGAGCCTCGGACACCGGGAAGTCTTACAGCAGAGCCCACTGCTGTGTCCCTGCTGTCCTCCTGCCTTTGAAGCCTGGCGGGAGCAAAGCCGGCTGTCAGGAGGAGGAGGAACTGCTCCGTGTGGCCTGGAGCCCTCCGGAAAAGGGATCTGACTTCAGGGAGTGAGCTGCTTACGATGCTGACACCACAAACCTTGCAAGAACGGGCGACTCTTCAGAGTTACTGGGGGGAAACGGGCATTAGAGCCTCGTTGGGGCAGTTTGCGACAGAGCAATGTGGTTTTGTTTTGTATTTCAAACAAGTTTTTAATTTAAGTGTTTCTTTGAACTCAGTCATATCACTTCTTTTTCGTCCTGCAGTATAGTCATTCTTTTTTTTTTTTTTTTAAATAAATAGGATTTTTTTTCAGTGTTCCACCAGAAGTTATCCCATGTGAGAGGCAGAACGGGGGAGCAGAAGCTGCACGGACTGTGGACGAGCTCCTCTTCCCCCACCAACTGCTCCTGCTGCCGGAGCTGCCTCCATTTTCAATCCCGCATCGCCCCGAGAGCGAGGAGGAGAGCTGGGCGCAGTGCTCTGTTGCTTGGAGGACTTAGAATGTGTGACGCTCTTGAGACGTCAGGGAGGTTCTGGATTGCTTTGACCTTGTTTTTTAAACTAAGCCCTTTCGTCCCTTCCCCGCCGAGGAGGGAGTCGCAGGCGAAGGGAGATCTTTGTGAGGGGCACGCTTTTTTTAAACTATTTCTTAAGCAAACGGACCAAACCCAGCCTGCTCCGTTCCCCTCCCCTGCCCTCCGTCCTCCTGCGGGCACCACGTGGAAAACCCTTCCCGTTTTTATAGTGCGGCTCCCTTTTGGTATCTCACCTGTGTCGTAGCTGTGGTCGACACCGCTGCTCCCAGCGGCTCTGAACCAAGATTCCTGCTTAAATGGGATGGACTTCTGCCTCCACAAAATATGGGGCATTTTGAGTCCGATTTTAAACAGAATAATAAGCTGAAAGGAGGGATTGTTCTGCTGCCTTTTCCCTGCGGTGACGCCTGGCCCACGCCGGCTGCAGACGCTTCTCGAGAGATCTCAGAGCAGATGTTGGACTGATCTTTATTTTCACTAAATGCTTTTTTTAAAGAAATGAAGTGACTCTTT